ACACTCAAGATATTTTGTAACTTTTATAAGTTTTATGTTGCACGTAACGATCACTGAATCCAATTCTGAAACGTTGGGGTGTGTGGAAATGTGGTTAGGGGTGTAAAAAGTTGTTGTTGCTTATTTATTCATTCATTCATTCGTTTTCTTTTCTGCTTAGTCCCTTTATTAATCAGGGGTCACCACAGCGGAATGAACCGCCAACTTATCCAGCATATGTTTTTACGCAGCGGATGCCCATCTAGGAAACATCCATACACACTCATTCACACGCATACACTACGGTCAATTCTAGCATACCCAATTCACCTGCACCACATGTCCGGAGCATCCGGAGGAAATCCACACGAACATGGGGAGAACATGCAAACTCCACACAGAAACGCCAACTGACCTAGCCGACGCTCGAACCAGTGACCTTCTTGCTGTGAGGTGAATGTGCTATCCACTGCATGCATGTTGCTTATTCAATTTACTTCAATATAAGTAGGTTTGCATGTTCTCCCTGTGTTGGCGTGGGAGTCTCATTTCGACACAAATGCACTATACAGACCCCCTTTTTATTCGTGTTTTGACATGCCCTGACATTTGTGCGTATTTCAGCTACTTATTACATAATATTGGCCAACATGTATTTTTTTGTATTCAGCACAAACTGTGCTACAATAATATGTGAGAAATATTGATGCACATGCATGCATTTTTTTTTAGAAAAGTGCATTTTACAGATGCGTTTTCAAAAACAGTTTGCGGAGAAATACTGATTGCTTTCCTTATATTGCAAGTAGACAAGTAGACACCTAACAGATTCGATTGATGTATTGCTCTTATCTGTACGATCAAAACTAAACATGGAATTTAAGTTCATTTCGGCGTTATCAAGATGCCTCGAAACGCATATATATAATATATATATATATATATATATATATATACAGTTAAAGTCAGAATTATTAGCCCCCCCTGAATTATTAGACCACTTGTTTATTTTTTCTCCAATTTCTGTTTAACGGAGAGAAGATTTGTTCAGCACATTTCTAAACATAATAGTTTTAATAACTCATTTCTAATGACTGATTTATTTTATCTTTGCCATGATGACCGTAAATAATATTTGACTAAATATTTTTCAAGACACTTTTATACAGCTTAAAGTGACATATAAAGACTTAACCAGGTTAATTAGGTTAACTAGGCAGGTTAGGGTAATTAGGCTAGTTATTGTATAATTATGGTTTGTTCTGTAGATTATCGAGAAAAAATGTAGCTTAAAGGGGCTCATAATTTTGTCCCTAAAATGGTGTTTAAAAAATTAAAAAATGCTTTTATTCTAGCGGAAATAAAAAAAATAAGACTTTTTCCAAAAGAAAAAATATTATCAGACACACTGTGAAACTTTTCTTGCTCTGATAAACATCATTTGGAAAATGTCTTAAAAAGAAGAAAAAAAATTAAAGGGGGCTAATAATTCTGACTTCAACTGTATATATATATATATATATATATATATATACTGTATATATACAACAGTACTGTCTGGTTCTCAAATCTGATTGGCTGATAGCCGTGCGATATTCTGCAATATCAGAAGTCCTACAGCCTCTTTACCCTTTGTGTTTTACTCCGCCCACATACAACCAGCAGCTTATGATTTGAATCTGGAAGAAGGTAGTTCCTCATACAAAAGAGTTTTTGAGACTCTTCATGTTTGATTTAGTTTTTATATACACAATTATGCCGTCAAACTGTTGTATAAACGCAAACGCCTCCCACATGTGCCGATATACAGCCATATCGCACTGCTACGAGTGTGATATTGCGTTTATACAACAGTTTGACGGCATAAATGTGTATATAAAAAAAATCAAACATGGAGAGTCTCAAAAACCCTTTTGTATGAGGAACTACTTTCTTTCGCGTTAGATTCAAATCATACGCTGACAGTTAAACAGCTGAGCGTGCATCTTTTAAAGATCCTTATGACACTGTGGATCTGTAGTGTCTGCTTGTTGCTGGCTGTATGTGGGTGGAGTAATACACAAAGGGTAAAGAGGCTGTACGGGTGCTGATATTACTTAAATATATCACGGCTATCAGCCAATCAGATTCAAGAACCAGACAGAACTGTTGTATAAATAAATAAATTTATATATATGTTTAATTTTTTATATTTAAATAAGTTTATTTTTTTATTGCAAAATTGTCCGCAAATTTCTTGTTCTGTTATTTCCCAGTACTGTGTTGCAGCTGCATAAAGCATATCCTGGAATAGTTGGCAGTTCATTCTGTTGTGGCAAACTCTGAAATAGAGACTAAGGACTAAGAGACTAAGGAATTAACAGCGAGACGTGACTTTCAAGGGACCGTTAAATATGGATTATTTTATCATTCTTACTGTTCAGTGAACGCAAACTGTCGTAATTTATTAAAGACGCAAACTCCTCACTGCACGACCTCCTCATACCTGCAGCACGAGGGCTTTAGGATTGTTTATGAGCGTCAAAAGGGGCTGATCTTTTCAGCGAAATATTTGAAAGCGTGTCTCTGCATATCAAACGACTAATATAACTAAAGAAATCTCCACTGTGCTGAGCGAAAGCGCTTACTAAACAGCGCATCATCGATGACGTAAGCGTGCCCAGGCCCGAATATAATGTAAGTGCAGGTCGTCGGGGGAGACGGAAGAAGGGACAAATGTGCTTTGGCCCGATTCAAGGCAACTGTACATAGTGTGAGTACAGCCTAAGCCAAAGGTGAATGAATAAATGAGATAAATTAATAAAAAATGCCATAAATAAATAAAATCGGATCCTGCCGTTACAGTCACGTTTTCTAGAATCACTTAGTAATGGCAGACAATGAATATCACATTGAACTTTGCTACCAATAGACAGGCGTATTTGACTTGCATTTGGCGCTTGGCGAGTGTTAATTTTGGACCTGCGTGCACAGCTTCAGCCACATGCTCATCACTCACTGTACTGAACGCTGTGGATGGTGGGTGGCAGCTGGCGAAAAACGGATTAGCGCTTTGTCTTTATTTAGTAACATTTCATTCAGATATGATACATCCATTTATTTGGAGAAAAAAAAGAATTGAACCCCAGGAACTGAACAGTACTCAAATGAAGACTGAAAGTGTGCAGAGAGCAGAAATCTGTGCTTTTCCCGCTGATTTTCATTCATTCAATCAATCATTTTCCTTCAACTTAGTCCCTTATTTATTAGAGGTCGCCACAACTGAACCACTAACTATTCCGGTATTAGTTTTACGCAGCAGATGCCCTTTCAGCTGCATCCCAGTATTGGGAAACACCCATACACACTCACACACACGCACTCAAACACTACGGCCAGTTTAGTTCATCCAATTCAACTCCAGCGCTTGAGTTTGGACTGTGGGGGTAGCCTGCAAACTCCACACAGAAATGTCAACCAGCCCAGCCGGGACTTGAACCAGCGACTTTGTTGCTTTGAGGTGACAGTGCTAATTGCAAGCCACCCTTCAGCTGATTTTGCTGCAGGTTGTTATTTCCTTCAGCATTAGCTTTTCTGTTTTGAAGAGCGCTTCCGTCGACCACAAGTTTAATGAAAAATGATACATCTATAATTTAATTCGGCCTCATTTTTCTTAGTCAAAACTCATTAATTAATAGTCCAAGCACTTTATCTAGAATACCCAGCAGTCCTGTTCAGGAGTAATTGGTTTCTGTAGGGAAACATGTATGTTTGACAGCTGGTTCAGGGCTTTGAGAGTTCGAGTTGTGAGATGCAAACTCAACATGCTGACATTCTACATTATTTACAAATGCTGTGCGCTTTTGAAAGGGTTTATCAGTTACATTTTGATGGACAGCAGTTATGCGTGTAGGAAAGTCACCTTTAATACATGATGATACTGTATACAGTGGTGAACAGTAAGTATTTTACTTCACTCCTATACTTAAGTGCATATTTATTTTTAGTAATATCTCTACTTTGTAAATATAATTATTTTAGGGTGCCACGGTGGCTCAATGGTTAGCACTGTGGCCTCACAGCAAGAAGGTCGCTGGTTTCTCTTCTTGTTGGCGTGGGTTTCCTCCCGGTGCTCTGGTTTCCCCCACAGTGCAGACACATGCACTATAGGTGAATATATATATGTATAGGTGTTTCACAGTACTGGGTTGGAGCTGGAAGGGCATGCGCTGAGTAAAACATATGCTGGAATAGTTGGTGGTTCATTCCGCTGTGGTAACCCCTGATAAATAAAGGACTAAGCTAGGAAAATGCATGAATGGAAATTATTATTTTAGGAAACTTTTGCTTCATTTAAAAACAAAACATTTAATTTTTACTTATTTAAATTTTCTTAAATGAAGCGGAGTAAAAAAAGTTATTTTGAAGGTTGGAAATCGGGATGAGCTAGTGGTGTTTAATTCATGAAAAAGCTGAATTTTATCAGTTAACCTGTTAAATCAGTTCACAAATTGTGAACTAGATTGACGTCTGCTTATGAGTTAATTTCCTTATATCTGGTTTCTTGTACCGTCCTTCATCGGACTCAAACCGTAGTCTGCTCTGCTTCGCGTCTGAAGTCTGACACCGTTCATGGTTAAGCAGTAAAAATGGTCCTTTAGATATGATAGATACATGCTAATTAAAAACCAACACAGGCTCATTGTCGATATGTACCCTATCTACATTTCTGGGGAGCGCAAATTATGTAGCCAGATGTACAGTATGTCTGGCTGCATTTTGTCTATAAAATTAACGATATGGGGTGGTATGATGCAGCCGACAGCTTCTGTTCCTTTTAGCTCTACCAGCTGACTACTTAACTCTGGGTAGACAGCATTCCGCTGTTACCAGTTTGCCCAGTAGCTCACTATGTACCTTGGCGGACTTGGGACGTTAAGCCGGAGTTGACTATGAACACGAGGTTCAAGTCTTGTTGAGAACGGTTCCAGAAACCAGGTAAAACAGAAGCAAAAAAAAATGTTTTGATAAAAACCAAAATAAAGTAAAAGATTAATAAATAAGTAAGCTAAAAATGTATCATGCGGCAGGCTTTCTTTTTCTAGATTTTTTTGAAAACACTATCAGTTGGATTTAGGGAAGGGTGCGGGTGGTTCAGTTCTGGTCAGTCTGAGTCAGTTGACAGCAAGCTAGCCTGGTCTGCTTAAGTGCATATTGCGCCCTCTGGTGGATTTATATACGAAAAGAGGACAAGCGCGAGAAATTTGGGAGTATCAAAAAGCAAATACAGCGGCCTCTGGAGAATTTCAAAAACAAAATCTGCAAACAGACAAACCTTCAGTGATGTATTTCCCTTAAATGTTGACCTGGGGACGTATCCGCCTGGGTTGTAAAAAAAGAAGTAAAGCCATAAGGAGTTAAGCAATTGGCGGTACCACCTCATAGCATTCATTTTACACAGAAAATGCACACTGTAAGCCCATACAGCTTGATTGAACTTAAAAAAATGATGGAAACTCGTTGTCCTAATCACTTTTCCTTGCTCATTGTTCCTTTAACAACAGACTACAATAAGCTCTGTACATTCAGTTTAAACATACCAATAGAATAAAAATAACATGCAAATCACACAACAAACTAAACTAATTTTGAATAAATACACCTTTGCAGCCATATGTGCCATTTCGCTTGGAAAAAGATTCACTTCACATTAGGTTGGAAACCTGGCTAGATGTTAAAGCATCCAGTTCTAAATCTTAGATCTTCTAGAGTCATTCCTCCAAGTCTGTTTACCCTTTACCTCTTCCCCAAATCATGTCATATTCTACATCCTGTTGGTTTTATTAGTGTTATCTTTACGGCAGCTCGCAGGTCAGACGAACAACTCAGGCAGAATCAGTCAGCATGTTCTACTTAAAGAGTTCTTTATCTCAGCAACAGCTTCTCTGCCAGCCAGTCTGCCTGTCTGCCTACTTAAAAAAAAAACAAGACTACCATTTTCAGTGTTCTTTACCTGTTGGTCTGCTGCCAGGTGAGAGGAGGAGGGGCCGCCCCGTTTACCTGTGCAAAAATCAAACAATAGTCCACACCTCTGATTGGCCTGGGAGACTCAGCTCCTCCCTCAGTTACCCGTTGTAATTCAACACCTGACAGATTCTGCTAGTGCTTGAATTAGTCTTGTTCACACAGTCTCAGAAACCCGTGCGTCTGTCCCCAGAGACACTCGCACTTCTGTCCCAGCTAAGGGGAACTCAGATAGAGTAACGCAGCCTGATATATGGATTAGCCACTCGCTGTACACTTGCAGTTGCATTTCTGTTCAGTTCAGGACTTGGATTCTCTAGTTTGCCATTTTTTTTTCTTCTGAGGATATCCTAAAGTCATAGTCTAACTTCATTTGGATGGTTTTCATCACATGGGTAAGTGCTGCACATGTATTGGATTTCTCGTCTGAATAATGCACTGAAACTAATGATTGCAAACAATTTATATGGACTGAATTTAAGCAATGTGGTAATGTTCAACTTAATTTGTTTGTTTAAATTCATCCCAAATAAATTGTTTGCAACCACTTACCTTAAAAAATGTAAGAAAAATGTAATTATTTTAGTGTATAGCAGCGGGTGGGCTTGATTGTCTTGCCTCAACCTTTAGGTCTCATAATATTATTCCATCATTTGCACTTAAATGAGGGTCTTATTAGTGGCGCAGTCTCTCTCATCTCTTCTTCCTTTGCTGTTGTACACAAACACACTGGGGCTCGGGACAAACCATTAGCAGAATCACAGCTGTCCTGTGCCCACTGATTTTCTCAGTCTTCTTCTTAAGTGTAGGATCCACCTTAGATGCTGTTTTTTTTCTTCTTCTTCTCTGGGTGTTATGTAAGATTTTGTTTTAATTAGCCTGGTTGAATGTATAATTTAGGGTGGATTATGAGGATATTGTTGAAATAACACCGTGTGTTTACTGGAAGTGTTTTACAGACAGGATGTGAGCTGTTTTGTAGTGCATAACTAGTAAGATCTTGATAACTTCAGTGGGATTCACAAGAGAATTTTGCAGTCTATTTGTATTAAGATTTGATTTATACAGTGATTTTTATAATATTATAATAATAATACAAAATAACAAAGAAAGTTATCTCTACTTTAAGTCTCTACTTAATTGAAAAGAAATATATATATATATATATATATATATATACACACATACACACACACACTAAATACTAATTATATATTAAAATAATATATATATATTCTATATGTTCTACTAAATCTAAATATTGATTATATATTAAAATTATATATATAATCAAAATATAGATTTTTTATATATTCTATATATTAAATCTAAACATTGATTATATAATAAAATAAGACATATTTATTCTATATATTCTATAAATTAAATCTAAACAT